TGACAGTAAATACATTTATACCGTCACAAAAGATTTCTATTTCAAATTAAATTGTTTTTCGTAACTTCTTATTTACCTGTGAATCCTGAAAAATAAAATGTCCTCAATTTGCGCACATGACTGATGCAAATATAAGTCACGTTTTCCCGCTCTGTGCGGTTTTCGCGACTGTCGCGTCTTTCTGCGCGGCGGCGTCCGCTCGCGGGCGTGTGATCCAGTGCGTCCAGCGCTGCATCATCGCCCTGATTCTCCGGCGCAGTTTCCCGTGTCCGAGCGTCACCACCAGCGGACTGAAGCCCACGAAGAGCGACGCCGAGAAATGCGCGACGGTCAGCAGTCCCTCCGTGTGCTTCCCGCCATTGTGGTTGTAGTACGTGACCGCGGCGACCTGCAGCACCCAGCAGCCGACGAACAGCGTGACCAGAGCCATGATCACGTGACCCGCCTTCCTCTCGCTGGACACGTCCAGCTCCGCCGCGCCACCGCTGCCCGCCGTCACCGCCCGGATGTGTTTGGCCAGCGAGTGCAGCGTCGCGAAATTAGTCCCGACCATCAGAATCAGCGGCATGACCTCGTTGAGCGCCAGCGACGTGGAGGCGAAGGCGTAGCCCTGCTGGTCAGTGGGAAACTCCCAAACGCAGCCCAGCAGCGGGCGAGTCGTGCAGCTGATCACCATCAGCTCCACCGTGGCGTTTCCGCGCACATGTGTCGTGTACACCAGCGCCGGCAGCGAGAACAGCAGGTTGACGGCCCAGACGACGCCCAGGAGGCCCCAGATGCGCCGGCGCTCGCGCTGATGACCCAGCGGACCCATGCTAACATGCTGCCTCCGCAGGGTCACGCAGTGGAAGGCGCTGAGGGCCAGAGTCACCCAGCAGCCCACCGAGCGCCACCACACCCACAGCAGCATGAAGACGCGGCACCAGCCCGGCGACAGCGACACCTCCAGACCCAGATCCGACACGAAGATGGGCACCGTCCGGAAGACTGACGTCAGCAGGTTGGCCATGCACAGGTTCACCAGGATGGTGTCGGAGGGCGGCAGATGGCGGGAGGCGCTTTCTTTAGCGCACTGGAACACCTGCGAGCACACAACACACAATCGAATGTTGACACGTCCATGTTGCATTTCAGCCCACAGTCAGAAACTAAATGATATTTTGTTGCATCCATATGGTTTACTTGTTTCTCGATTTTTATTGGTAATGCTCATTATTCACGATATTAAAAATAAATATGTAAGGAGGACATAACACACACAGTTTCACCCAATCTCATGTTAATCTTGAGTACCTATAGAGTAGTACTGCATCCTTCATATCTACAAAAAGTCTTTAGTTTGATCATATTTATAAAAGAAAGATACAGCTTTACGATTCTCTCCGGAAACAGCCGAGCTCCTGGAGGCGTGTCGTAGGATGATGTCTGGGCGCGTTCTTCTGGGAGAAATGCCCATATAAGGAGTTCCACCCTCGTCTACGTCATTAAGAGCCACTATAGAAAAAAACTCTCCGAAACTTGTACGAACCCGGAAGTAAGATTTTTGGCACAGAATTACTCCATATATATATAGTTTTTTGAAACTTGGTCCATGCTCAGCATGAGAATCCAACTCTATAACAGTGTAAACAACTCTGAATGCATGAAACAGCATTGTACCCCCCTTTAAAATTGAATGGAATTAATTAAATTATTTAATTCGTGTTTTAATAGTAACTTAAATAATAAATGTAATAAATTAAATATTTATTTTAGATTAAATAAAAGCGATTAAATATGAAATGTTTTACGAAAATGATAAATACATAATTATTAATTAATGATATTAATTTAATATTAAATATTTATTTAAATATGCTAAATATTTAGATGTCGTGTTTAATGGTTTTATTTGTTCAAATTAAATTATATTAATATTATTAAATTAATAGTTTTAATAATAATTTAATATTAAATATTTGCTTTGATGAAATAAAAAAAACATGAAATATGAAATGATTTGAGAAAAAATGAAATTGATACTGTTAAAATAAGAAGAAATAGTTATTGTAATATTTAATATAAAATGTGTATTTAAATATATTAAATATTTAGATTAAATAAAATTCATTAAATATGAAAAAAGTGTTTCACATGTTTACATTTTGTTTTTTTTAATATTTAATTTTATTTTATTCATTTAATTAAAAAATCAGCAAAAATTAAAGTACAAAAAAAATTTCATATTATTTAAATACTTTACAATGTTTATTTCTCCCGCATCACATTAATGATAACTTAATTATCATGGAAAATAAAAAATATAAAAATTCTTTTTTAAATCTTAATGGTCCTAAAATAGGCTTCATGTTTTTTAAGATTCTTGAGAGTTAAGAAAAACGCTCTTCTGTATCATTTTTCACTTAATCGTTAGTGATACAGTAGCTTAGAGATCATGTCGCTCGCAACGCCAAGTCACGAGTTCGAGTCCCAGGGAAAGCAAGAAACTATGAAAATGCAAACGTGTACTTTGATTGCACTGTAAGTCACATTGGATAAAAGTCTCTGCCAAAACAGATAAATGCACTGAAATAAAAGCATGTATCTTGGTTATTCGTGTTGGATGTTCTCTCTCACCACATGGATGACCAGAATGTTTCCTATGATGCCGGAGAACACCAGCAGGCCGAAGAGGATGGCGTCCACCGTCAGGATCTCAGACATGTCTCTCTCTCTCTGTCTGTCTGTCTGTCTGTCTGTCTCAGGGCCGTCTGTCGGTCTCCGCGTCCGTTCCGTCCATCGCGCGGCTCGTAACGCACTGTCGTTCACTTCAGCTCAGTATATAAACACACACACACGCGCTCAGATGAACAATCTCAGCCTTAACAGCGTGCTTTCAGGCTCCATTAAACTCGAACACCAGACGCTCTGCAGTTTTCCAGGCTTCTGAGGCCGCGGGGATTTTAATCTTTAATCATTATTATTATGAAACGCCTGAGTGACGATAAACATCTGATCACTGAGCCTCATCAGCTCAGCGGCCAGCAGCGTCAGTGAAAACTCTCAGACTCAGAGGAGTTTATACAGGCCTGTTTATTCTACTCTTTCGCATTTGTGTTGTTTTATAAATTGTTTGTGTTTCATAATCGTTTAATAGGCTGTTATAACAAACGTTATTCTAGTAACGTTAATAGAACGTTCGTTCAAAGTGATCTGGTGTTGAATAATGTTCTCAGAACGTTACACAGACACGTCATTAATGGAAGGTTTTCTTTCTGAAACATGTTAGCTGGACGCTCGTCTAACGTTTTTAAATGTTGCTAGAGATCAGAGCACTGCTACAAAACACTTCCCTTAATGTTTGCAGAACCTAAAAAGGGGAGTTTTTTAACTGCAAAATGATCAAATGCAATGTTCCCTTAACGTTCACATAACCATAAAAAAAAAGTTTTTAAAAATGCACGCTTTGAGTGTTCTGAGAATAAAATATAACGTTTTCATAACTTAACAGGAAGATTAGGAAAACGTTCTTAGAACATATTTTTGTATGGTAGTTTGTTTGTTGGTCTCAAATTGAATTATTTACTCTGAGAAATATTTACGGGAGTAAAGTGTGTGTGTGAGAGAGAGAGTGTGTGTGTGTGTGTGTGTGTGAGAGAGAGAGAGAGAGTGTGTGTGTGTGTGTGTGAGAGAGAGAGAGAGAGTGTGTGTGTGTGTGTGTGAGAGAGAGAGAGAGAGTGTGTGTGTGTGTGTGTGAGAGAGAGAGAGAGAGTGTGTGTGTGTGTGTGTGAGAGAGAGAGAGAGAGTGTGTGTGTGTGTGTGTGAGAGAGAGAGAGAGAGTGTGTGTGTGTGTGTGTGAGAGAGAGAGAGAGAGTGTGTGTGTGTGTGTGTGAGAGAGAGAGAGAGAGTGTGTGTGTGTGTGTGTGAGAGAGAGAGAGAGAGTGTGTGTGTGTGTGTGTGAGAGAGAGAGAGAGAGTGTGTGTGTGTGTGTGTGAGAGAGAGAGAGAGAGTGTGTGTGTGTGTGTGTGAGAGAGAGAGAGAGAGTGTGTGTGTGTGTGTGTGAGAGAGAGAGAGAGAGTGTGTGTGTGTGTGTGTGAGAGAGAGAGAGAGAGTGTGTGTGTGTGTGTGTGAGAGAGGGAGTGTGTGTGTGTGTGAGAGAGAGTGTGTGTGTGTGTGTGAGAGAGAGTAAAGTGCTGATGAACGCGTTCGTCTCTAATACTCCAGGGTCTTATTAACTGGTTCTGATTCGTCATGTTCCGTCATTAGTGGAAGCGCTGACTCAATCCTCCAGATAAACCAGTGTGTGTGTGTGTTTGGACCAGCATCACCATCACTAACTCTAATCAGCTCATTATTAGGCTACGTGACAATATACTTCATTCGCTCGCTCACCGTGCGTCAATCTTACGCAAATTTGTACCAGGTGGCTGTTTTGTGTACCGCAAGAAGAACGGATTGTAAACAGCTGATGAGGTGATCTGGATTAGTTCTCTGTTTCCGATCAGTAACTGTGCTGATGATGAACACTAGATGGAGGCATATTGAAACAGCTGAAAATACACACAGAAGGAGGGCAGACATTATAAATTAATGCCAAATTAAATGCGCGAACGCAGAAATAACAGAATGTTTCTGATACAGGACGTTTTTAAAAGTCACCTGATAGACATTAAGACGCTGATGTAACCTATATGTTTGAGGTATTTTCAGTAAAACGATGAAACACAAAACTCAACAAATCAAACCTATTTCCTATCGCCAAGAATATGACCATACGTGTCCAAAATCGTGAAATATGGTATTACCAGTGTATTTTGTAGACAGGTTTCTGCAGCTAATACTACTTTATCAGCAGACGGTCTACCCGTATTTAGCAGAAGTACATGATGTAGAGCATATGTTTGAAAGCAGAACAGGTCTTTTGTAGAACTGATAAAGGCTCGTGACGGAGATATAGCGAGAGTGCATGAGAGGAAATATGATAATTAATAGTGACGCGCGCGCGTGCGCTCGGACAGATGCTCGCTCCCGTCCGGCGGCTGCAGCGCGCGGTTTCTGCTTTTCTGAGGTAATAATCTTCTTCTTTATTTGCATTAAATCTATGCGCACGACATCAGTCTGATGAATAATCTTCATTGAGGTTGTTTAGCTCGTCTTGAATTCAGAGACTCGGCCGTTGTTGTGTTAATTCGAGGCCGGTGTGCTGCTTTGCGTTCGGTCAGTGTTCATTCTGATTTATTTGTTGTTGTTTTATTGCAGGTCGTCGCGGCGCAGGTGTGATGGCGAACGCGCTATTCTCCGCATCTGCGAACGTTTAACCGTTAAATCAGACATGGCGCGCCGTCAGGGATCGGTTCTGCTGGTTCTGCTGGTTCTCAGCGGCGGGAGTTCTGCTTTACCGAACCGGGCCAGCAGCGATGCGCAACACGACACCACCGACAGTAATAACACCAATAAATACACCAATAAAGACTCTCTGGGAATCACCGAGCGCCTACCAAAGCTACAGGACAACAGCAGTGCTGTGAGACGGTGGCGCGTTCTGGGGGACCCCGGGCCCTTGTGCGCTTACCGCACTCTCGACGCAGGTGACCCCGGGCGTCTGTGCTTCCGCTACGCCCAAACTGACTTCAGGTGTGCTAGCGCTAGCTGTCGACAGGTGAGCTCACCTGGAGGGCAACTCACGGCGAATATTCTGTCCAACGGAAGTGTGTTCATTCAGTGGACGGTCGCTCACGAGGCCCCGCCGAAGGGCCCCGCTCCAGATCAAACGGGCGGGTTCAGGCTTAGCTGCTGGTGGAACGGAAGCTACACGCAATTCGAATGCGCCGGCGTTCATTTAGGCTCCGGCTGCAGGGATTATTTACTTAACGAGCTGCACACGAACGTCCCCTACCGGCTGTGCGTGCGGCCCTACGACCTCGAACGGGACGAAGCCTGCGTGGAGTTCAGCCTCGCGCCCGGCGGGATGCAGGACATCGTTATCGCCATGACGACGGTGGGCGGAGCCATCTGCGTGATGCTGGTCATCATCTGCCTGCTGGTGGCGTACATCACCGAGAACATCATGAACCCGACGGCGCAGCACACGCTCGCGGCGCAGCACTCGCACAGATCGCACTTACACACGCACCTGTGAAAACGCAAGCACAAGTATCGGCATCAAACATCGTTATCGTCACGCAAACACACATGCGCACTTTTCCTACAACCAAGTGCGGAATCCACGTCAAACTGCACTTTCACGACACTATTTACTATTTACCGGCTGCGTTCGGAATGGAGTACTTAGCTACTATTTAACGAATACTGCGCGGTGTGCGCTGTCTACTACTTTTGAGAAATAGAAAAGTAGGCACTGTTCTGAAATGGCGTCCAGTTCTTAGAAAAGACTGTTTGCATGTTTTAGCGCAATTTAAAATGTTGGCAATCACATAAGAATTTAAGAAAGGGGATACAGTATACCGCAGAAATAGTAGGAATAATATGACAATTCCGAACATAGCCATCCCTTACGAAAATTAACCAGGGCTTTATTGTAGTAAAAGTGTACAGTAGTAACCATGATTTTTCTGGTGTATTGATTACCATTTGTATAACCACAGTTTTACTACAAATACCATGGTTAAACTATGGTTAGTGTAGCAAAACCATGTGGTTACCAATAGTAGCCGTGGTTTTTTGGTTTTGTGTTGAAACCATGGTAAACTGTCATAAGGGATACGCTTAGCTATACACCGACAAGCATTTTTCCTGTGTTTATGTGCATTTTCATCTGTAGTCTCGTTTAATAATCCCATTTACCAAAAAACTGTGCACTCATTGATATTTAGACTTATAGCTATATTAATATTTGTTTCAGAAATGCAAAATAACTGCATATGATGGCTTTGTGTAAGGTGTTTTCAGGCTTAGTGAGTGTAGTAAGGAAGGAAAGCTGCTTTACTTTTATCCGAGGGACGCTGTAGTTTTGTACTCTGTGTGTCAAACCCAATAATTTACAGTATGCCTTATCTTTACACGACTCTTCTAATTCTGAGTTAGTAATATTCACCAAAATAAGGACCCACTGACTGGCTGAACAGTCTTTTGAATACTGTGCTTTTTTCCTCTGTTATATAAACCTTTTGTGTCAATAAAAGGGTGAATTTAATAAACAGGCTTGCTTTGTATTTTGTTTATTGGGTTTACTGTTTTTTGGCTTTTCATTAAGTTTTTTTTTTTCAGGCTAATGGAAAGAAAACATCCAAAATACACCTTTAAGTGTTTCTTTCATAGCACTGCATCTATTTCTGTCTGTAGATTTCTATTACAATACATATCTTTAAAGGCTGCTTTCTCAAAATGAGATTTTCAGTAACACTTACATACACCAAACTTTAGTTTTATTACTATCTATATTCTAAAGGTTTTTACAGAGGGGTTTGTTCAAATATATTATACAACATTTTGTTTTGGTTACCAATAGTAGCCGTGGTTTTTTGGTTTTGTGTTGAAACCATGGTAAACTGTCATAAGGGATACGCTTAGCTATACACCGACAAGCATTTTTCCTGTGTTTATGTGCATTTTCATCTGTAGTCTCGTTTAATAATCCCATTTACCAAAAAACTGTGCACTCATTGATATTTAGACTTATAGCTATATTAATATTTGTTTCAGAAATGCAAAATAACTGCATATGATGGCTTTGTGTAAGGTGTTTTCAGGCTTAGTGAGTGTAGTAAGGAAGGAAAGCTGCTTTACTTTTATCCGAGGGACGCTGTAGTTTTGTACTCTGTGTGTCAAACCCAATAATTTACAGTATGCCTTATCTTTACACGACTCTTCTAATTCTGAGTTAGTAATATTCACCAAAATAAGGACCCACTGACTGGCTGAACAGTCTTTTGAATACTGTGCTTTTTTCCTCTGTTATATAAACCTTTTGTGTCAATAAAAGGGTGAATTTAATAAACAGGCTTGGTTTGTATTTTGTTTATTGGGTTTACTGTTTTTTGGCTTTTCATTAAGTTTTTTTTTTTCAGGTTAATGGAAAGAAAACATCCAAAATACACCTTTAAGTGTTTCTTTCATAGCACTGTATCTATTTCTGTCTGTAGATTTCTATTACAATACATATCTTTAAAGGCTGCTTTCTCAAAATGAGATTTTCAGTAACACTTACATACACCAAACTTTAGTTTTATTACTATCTATATTCTAAAGGTTTTTACAGAGGGGTTTGTTTGTATAGGCTAAAATGCCTGATTTTATACAACATTTTATTCCTTAATAAATAAATACAATTAAAAGGAAAGGAAATGAAAGATTGTTTTCTGGCTATCGACAGTAGGACTATTTTCTTATTGATGGCGTGATAAATAGAGAAATCCAAAATACCTCCTATGTCAACAAAATGAGACGAGTTTTTGGCTATTGCTACAAATATACCTGTGCTGCTTAAGACTGGTTCTGTGCCAGATCGTGAGATGATAATTCCATAATCGCAGGCCATTAAACGGCTTGTTGTCCCTCACAGCCTGGTCTGTGTTCAGGTTGATGTAGGTCAGGTAAGTCGCCGCAGGTCAGGGAGGGCTGTGTTTGCTGTTCTGATGTCTTGTGGTTTCTCACCGTCTCTCTGTTATTCCCACAGCAAGCGAGGGTTTGATGTGCGTTCCTTCGGCACAGGAACCCACGTGAAACTCCCAGGACCCGCTCCGGACAAACCCAACATTTTCGACTTCAAAACCACTTACGAGCAGATGTACAACGACCTGGTCCGTAAAGACAAGGAGCTGTATCCCTAGCATACACACAGAAATACACCGGCTAGAGCCCCAGAATCAGACCAAACCCTTGATCGATTAGAACACTGACCAAATGCACAATCAAGTTTCTCTGTTGGCATTGATGGCTCCATGAAAAATCCATGGAACCATTCTTTTGTAAACAAGTGGAAAAAGGTGGTTTAGATTTCAAAATGTTCTTCACACTAACACCGTGTCCTAACTACATGCGATAAAAGCTGCGTTTTCCATGTTAATCAGAGTTTTAGTCCTAGCTAGCCACGACACGCAAAATTTCTATTTTAGAAACGGTTTCTATTTCATGACGTCACGGCTGGAACAACAACATACAAACTACATGACAGTGATAATCTCAGGTACTGATTATGTGCTTTATTCAAAGCTAAACGTGTCTAATATGAGTTTGAATAACATTTTGCATGACCTTGTAGCCATACTGAAAGCAACAACAGATAGTTTACCTCAGATCTTGAAAATAAAGCAAACAAACATTAAAATTGCGAACCGAAAACTATATTCCATAACAAAGATGGTATCAGACACTCAGTATGTACATTTAAAAATGTTAAAAAGGTTTGATATTTATGAATTGGGTTCTTCATTTCGTCGAGTGCAGAGCGCTTCCAGAGAGGCTCCGCCCACACATGCTTCTGATTGACTGATATCTGATTGACTGTCGTGTCTGGTGTGGACACCCAAACTGTCGCTGGAAACTTGTCGCGTGTAGTTACGACTAGGGTTGAAAAAACGAGGGAAATTTCCAGTAAATTTTGGAAACTCCAGGATTTATTTATTTATTTTTTCCAGGCATTTTTGTAACCTTTCCAGAAATGTTGGAAACTTTTCAGGATTTAAAAAAAAAAATTTATTCCAGGCATTTTTGGAAACATTCCAGAAATTTTGGAAACTTCACAGGATTTTTTTTTTAATTATTCCAGGCATTTTTGGAAACATTCCAGAAATTTTGGAAACTTTCCAGGATTTTTTTTTTTTATTATTCCAGGCATTTTTGTAAATTTTCCAGAAATGTTGGAAACTTTCCAGTATTTTTTTTTTTTAAAAATGTTAAAAAGGTTTGATATTTATGAATTGGGTTCTTCATTTCGTCGAGTGCAGAGCGCTTCCAGAGAGGCTCCGCCCACACACGCTTCTGATTGACTGTCGTGTCTGGTGTGGACACCCAAACTGTCGCTGGAAACTTGTCGCGTGTAGTTACGACTAGGGTTGCAAAACCGAGGGAAATTTCCAGTAAATTTTGGAAACTTTCCAGGATTTTTTTATTTTTTTTTTCCAGGCATTTTTGTAACCTTTCCAGAAATTTTGGAAACTTTTCAGGATTTAAAAAAAAAAAAAATTTTCAGGCATTTTTGTAAACGTTCCAGAAATTTTGGAAACTTTCCAGGATTTTTTTTTTTTATTATTCCAGGCATTTTTGGAAACTTTCCAGAAATTTTGGAAACTTTCCAGGATTTTTTTTTTTTATTATTCCAGGCATTTTTGTAAACTTTCCAGAAATGTTGGAAACTTTCCAGGATTTTTTTTTTTAATTATTCCAGGCATTTTTGGAAACTTTCCATGAATTTTTTTTTTTATTATTCCAGGCATTTTTTGGAAACTTTCCAGAAATTTTGGAAACTTTCCAGGATTTGTTTTTTTTTTTTTTTTTATTATTCCAGGCATTTTTGGAAACTTTCCAGGATTTTTGGAAACTTTCCAGGATTTTTTTTTTAATTATTCCAGGCATTTTTGGAAACTTTCCATAAATTTTCCACCCCTTTGCAACCCTAGTTAGAACACAGTGTAAGAAAAAAATTTGGTTGTTTTAGCAACTCTTCGTGAGGAACCCAGAATGATTATTTTATGGCATCGCTCTGCACAACCATTTTTGGAATCTTTAATTTTTTTAGCGTGATTATAATGCATAATTTAAATCGTATGAGCCACTGCGTTTTAGCGACTGAAGATGAGCGGAAACTTTCCAGAAATTTTGGAAACTTTCCAGGATTTTTTTTTTTATTATTCCAGGCATTTTTGGAAACTTGCCATAAATTTTCCACCCCTTTGCAACCCTAGTTAGAACACAGTGTAAGAACAAAATTTGGTTGTTTTAGCAACTCTTCGTGAGGAACCCAGAATGATTATTTTATGGCATCGCTCTGCACAACCATTTTTGGAATCTTTAATTTTTTTAGCGTGATTATAATGCATAATTTAAATCGTATGAGCCACTGCGTTTTAGCGACTGAAGATGAGCTCTACGTTTTGTTCTTCTGAACTCCATGAACTGTTCCTCGCATCAAAAAGATAGTTGACCCAAATCGATCGTTACTCCCTTTTTGTCGTTCCAAACCTGTATGACGTTCAACTGTGAAAGAAATGGAAGTCAATGGAGTCCAGTGTGTGTGTTCGGTTCCCAGTGTTGTTTAAAATATCTTCTGTTGTGTTTCACCGAAGGAAGAAAGTCATATGGGTTTGGAACGACATCACGGTGGGTAAATACGTAACTTCTCTGTAGGACACCTGCGTTTGTTGCAACTACACAAGAAAGACGTCTAAATGCATTGGTGAAAAGACGAGGGTATATTTACTCCATGGGCAGTAAATCTTCTCTTGGGTTCATCAGCAGCTGGTTTATGTCTGCTCTTTACTTACACAAAGTATAACAACTTCACAAAAAGATGGGGGGGGGGTTATTTCCCACTTTGTTACACTTGTGGTATTTCCATTCAAAAATGACCGTACTATAAAATCATGCTGTTTTTACCAAATAATTGATTCGGTGTATTTACCAGCTTGTCTGTCAATCAGCACAGGTGTTGTATTTCATTTTGGAGCTGATTGATCTGAGCTCACGCTCCTCAACTTTTAAATGAAAAAGCATTATTTGTGGGTAATTTTGTCAATGTTTGCTCAAAATGAAATACAAAACCTGTGCTGATTGACAGAAAACAAGCTGACGGAAAGATTGAATCCAAGCGTTGGGAGATGATGCAGCGTAATGAGAGATTTACAAGCTGTTTTTTTAAAAGGCCGCTCATTTTTGTAATTATGTAAAGGATTTTCAGTAAATGCCATGAGACAGAATAAACGTAGATTCAGGATATGCAGTCTATAAAAACATGCCTCAATATTTAAGTACATTTGTCATTCTAAAGATTTTTAGACATTTCTAATACGCCAAAAACTACTTTTTGCTTTGTTTTCACCTCGTGAGCAGGAGAGCTTGCAGCCGGTGCATGTGATTAATGTGGATATTCAGGACAACCACGAGGAGGCGACGCTAGGAGCATTCCTCATCTGCGAGCTCTGCCAGTGTGTGAGTACAGACAGCAACACCTGGACTTACTGCTCTGAGTTCAATACAGTTATTCTGTGCTGATTCATTTGTGTTCAGTTCAGCTTAATGGATGTTCATAAAAGCATACTTACACAAATTGTTTCACTGATTGTGCAAATCTCTGTAAGAGTGGTTTCACGATTTTACAAGAAGTCAGGGTTATTATAGTTAACTACACAACAAAAAAAAAATACATTTAATAAAGCTATAAAAAATTTTATTTGAGAAATAACAAATTTAACTGAAATAAAATGTTACTCCTTGTTTAACCTAATCTTATATATTATTTAACTTATTTCAGAAAATGAATAGAGTGCAAGTCTTAAAGGGTAAAGTGTTTTTTTTTTTTAATTAAAAAAAAGACAACAAATAACGCAAATAGAATTAGAATAGAGTGTGCTAGAGTTAGACGGTCAAATAAGGATGGAGTAGATGTGTTTTAAAGTGGAATAATGTATATTATTACATTTTTTAAAATATATAACGTAAAAAAATATATATATAATTTTGTTATCATTAAAATTACAATGAGTTTTACCAGTTAGTGGTGGGTGTTTCATATTTTACATAAAAATATAAAAATAAAAACATTTCAAACTACAGTATAATAGTTTCTTAGTGATGCAAAAATAAGTAATAATAAAATAAACGTGTAAATTGTCGCTGTTAATCAAATACAATCATTTACAGAAGTTTGTCACATCATTATGTTTTTAGCACAAAATTTGTAAAGAATAGTGTTTCGTGAACTTCTTGAGCAGAGGACCGTTCTTACACAATCTCTGAAATCCAGAAGAAATGCAATAACTCGGCTTGTTTACATAAAGCAGAGGCCGTTTGCATCAGAAGTGTTTTTCACGCGTGCTTCGCTGCGTCTCAGATTCAGCACACGGACGACATGGAGAACCATTTCATATAGTTGATCAAAATCACACGAGGAGTGCCATTTTTTTTCGTAAAAATAAAAAATGTGATAGTGATTTTATGCAAGTTCAATAAACAAGAAGTTAATATTAAGATACTTACGTTTTAGACGCCATATTGCCTGTTTTTGCGCTATTTCGGCAACAAAAAGTTCGGCTCTTTTCAAAGATTCGGCTCTTTTGGCTCGGCTCCCTTAGAAGAGCCGGCTCTTACGACTCCCAGATGGCTCTTTATTTAGTATCACTCGGAGCCTTCTATTTTAGCCTCAGTTTAGCAGTTGTGAACAACAACACGTGATTGTCCTAACTACACGCGCCGCGACAGAGTCAATCAAATACCACAGCCAATCAGAAGCGTGTGTGGGCGGAGCCTCTCTGGAAGCGCTCTGCACTCACAACGAAATGGATAGGCGTATAATCTAAATTATAAATATTAAGTCTTTTTAACATTATTAAATGTACATACTGAGCGACTGATACCATGTTTGTTATGGAAAACACTTGTTGGTTCGCAGTGAGTTCACAGTTTTAACGGACATCTTTGCTTTATTTTATTTTTAAGATCTGAGGTAAACTATCTGTTGTTGCTCTCAGTATGGCTATAAATGCCACGCAAAATGATATTCAAACTTATATTAGAGACGTTTAGCTTTGAATAAAGCACACTGAGATTATCACTGTCGTGTAGTTTGAATGTTGTTGCTCCAGCCGTGACGTCACGGAAATAGCACCTAATATACAGTACCTGTACATACAAAAACTGTCTATTGTA